AACAAGAAGAAAATGTGTAACAAAAGTGTGAATAGGAAGCAAGAAGACACAACAGTAGTTACTACAGATGGTGATCTCATGGTTGATTGTGAAAATGATTGTGTCAATTTTGTGGGTCAAGAGAGCAATTGGGTGATTGATTCAGGTGTTTCTTGTCATGTGACTTCTCGATTTGATTTCTTCACTACCTACTCCAAAGGAGATTATGGGTGTGTTCAAATGGGTAATAAAGGTTTGTCCAAGATTTTTGGCATGGGTGATGTTTACTTGGAAACAAATTTGGACTGGAAATTGTTGCTTAAAGATGTGAGGCATGTTACAGACATTCGCCTCAATTTGATCTTTATCAGAAAACTAGATGATGAAGGCTACAACAACAAATTTGATGATAGAAAATGAAAACTCACAAAGGATTCTTTGGTAGTGGCTAAGTGTAAGAAGTCTCACACACTTTATTCGATGTAAGGAAAAATTTGTAAAGGTATTGTCAATGTACTTGAAAATGATACTTTTACCGAATTATGGCGCAAGTGGCTTGGGCATATGAGTGAAAAGGGGCTGCAAGTTTTGTTCAAGAAAGAGGTTCTACCCGGTTTGAAAGGTCCGCATCTTAAAACTTGTGTTCATTGCTTGACCGGTAGACAACATAGAGTTTTTTTTCATAAAAATGTTGCTTTTTGGAGTTGATACATTCGAATGTTTGTGGTCCTTTGAAAGTTAGAACACATAGTTGTGCACTTTATTTTATTACTTTCATTGATGATTATTCAAGGAAAGTTTGAGCTTTTACACTAAAAACTAAAGATCAAGTTCTAGATGTATTTAAGCATTTTCAGGCCATAGTTGAAAGAGAAGCAAGACAGAAATTGAAGTGCATCCAAACAGACAATGGTGGTGAATGCATTGGGCCATTTGATGAGTATTGTCGACGCCAAGGTATTCGGCATCAAAAGACAGTTAAGAAGACTCCTCAACAAAACGGCATTGTTAAGAGATGAACCACACCATTGTGAAAGAACAAGGTGTTAGTGGTTGATGTAATCAATTTGTCTCATTCCTATCCTTTGAATGGTGATATTCCCGAAAGAGTTTGGACCAGCAAAGATGTGTCTTATGAGCACTTGAGAGTATTTGGTTGTCGAACTTTTGTTCACATTCCAAAAAATAGGAGGTCCAAACTTGATAGCAAGTCAAGAAAATGCATTTCTCTTGGCTATGGGTGTGATGAATTTGGTTATAAATTGTGGAATCCGGTCGACAAGAAAGTTATTCGAAACGGTGATGTTGTGTTTCTTGAAGACAACAATTGAAGACTTTGGTAAAGGTGATCAACTGAAGCCAAAAACTAGTGATCTTATTGACATAGATCTATCTCCTTCATCTTCGGTCAATGATGAAAATGGTGGAGATGTGCAGCTACTTCTTGAAGATGTAGATGACGATGCTACTCCAAATGAAGTTGAGCCTGAAATTGAGAGAGAGCATCCAACTTAAGAACTGCCACCATAACCTGAGTTAAGGAAATCTACAAGGGATCGGCAACCTTCGAGAGAGTATACTCCCAATGAAATTTTTGTTAATTTTCAATTAAAGGGAGCTAGAGAGCTACCAAGAAGCAATTGAGCATGCAAACAAAGATGATTGGAAAAAGGCCATGGAAGACAAAATAAATTCCTTACTTGAAAATCACACTTATGATTTGGTGAAATTGCCTAAGGGGAGGAAAATTCTAAAAAATAAGTGGGTTTTCAAATTGAAAAATAATGGCAAGAATCTGAGGTACAAGGCACATCTTGTTATGAAAGGTTTTAGGCAAAAGAAAGGTGTTGACTTTGATAAAATTTTCTCACCGGTTGTGAAGATGTCTTCTATTCGGGTTGTACTTGGCATGGCTGCAAGTATGAACCTTGAAATTGAACAACTTGATGTGAAGACCGCATTTCTTTATGGTGATCTTGAAGAAGAAATTTACATGGAGCAACCAGAGGGTTTTGTGGAAAAAGGAAAGAAAATTTGTTTGCAAATTAAAGAAAAGTTTGTATGACCTTAAGCAAGCGCCAACAATGGTACAAAAAATTTGACTCTTTCATGATGAATAATGATTTTTCTAAAACCACTTCGAATTTTGTGTGTTTGTGAAAAAAATTTCGGATAGCAAATTTATTATTCTTTTACTTTATGTTAATGACATGTTAATTACGGGCCAAGATTTTACCATGATTAACAAGTTGAAGTTAGAGTTGAGTAAGTCTTTTGCTATGAAAGATTGGGAACTGCCAAAGTAAATATTTGGTATGAAAAGTATTCGTGATCGCAAAAAGGGGCTTATTTGGTCGTCTCAAGAAAGTTACATTGAGAAAGTTCTTGAGAGGTTCAACATGGATAAAGCAAAGCTAGTTGGTTGTCCACTTGTGGGTCATTTCAAGCTTAGTTCGAATCAATGTCCTACAAGTGAGAAAGGCAAAGAAAAGATGCTGAAAATTTCTTATGCTTCAGCGGTTGGTTCTTTGATGTACGTCATGGTTTGTACAAGGCCGAATATTGCTCACTCCGTTGGTGTGGTGAGTCGTTTTCTCTCTAATTTGAGTAAAGAACATTGGGCAGCGGTGAAGTGGATTCTAAGTTATCTTTGAGGGATTTCAAAGGTGTGTTTGTGTTTTGGGAATGGTAAGCCGATGCTTGATGGGTTTACGGATTCTAACATGGTCGATGATATTGATTATAGGAAATCTATTTTGAAGTATTTGATGACTTTTGCAGAGAGAGCTGTGGCATAGCAATCTAAATTACAAAAATGTGTTGCTCTCTCAACTACCAAAGCTGAATTTATCGCCATTATGGAAGCTTGCAAAGAAGAGTTATGGTTGAAGAAATTTTTGCAAGAGTTGGGTTAAAGCAAAAAAGGTATGTGCTTTATTATGATAGTCAAAGTGCTATTCATTTGAGTAAAAATTCTACTTTTCATTCGACATCAAAACATATTGATGTAAGATACCATTGGATTTGTGATGTGTTAGATTCGAAATTGTTAAAACTCAAAAAGGTTCACACAAATGATAATATTTCGAATATGTTGACTAAGATTCTGTCGAGGGACAAACATTTGAAGTGTCAAACTTTAGCGGATATACGGGTATAGTTGATGTCTCCACCTAAGTCGGTAGGAGAAGAATTGTTGGGTATACCTCCTTAGTGGAGTATGAGACCCAATTGGTTTATTTAAAGAATTTTAATTTGGTTTGGTGTGGTGTGGGTTATAATATATTTTCTATATTATATCTGACTTTCCGAGGCCCAAATGGGTATTTAATAATCTGTTTGGTGGCAACTAGGATTTTTATAAAAAGCCCAAGAATCAACAATATATTTATATATATTGCTTTGTTCTTCCGAAATAAAGTGTCGGCTACAACATTGTTTCATCTTCGGTGAGATAGTGCTTGGTGTATCGGTGGGTTTGTTCTTCAAGCATCAGCTTGCTGTGTGAATGTTTTTGGATTGAAGTCAATTCAGTGGAATTCAATTCGGTGAAGCTATTTTGATTCAGATTTGTAGTCTTCTTCAACTTTGACTTTTGTTCATCTATTTGGTGAGGTTTTTCCTCTTAATTATTTGTGATTATTTTGAATTCACCTAAAAGTGATTTTGCGAGATCATTCGCGTCCCGTTTGTAATCATTTAAAAACTCTTTGGTTGATAGTGAAATTGAATTTCGATCACAATGAGGGAACCACGTAAAAATTCTTGTGTCGTTGTTGATTTAATTTTCTCACATTAGTTTATATTTTCATTGATTGATTTACTTGTGAAAAATCATATATTTTCCCTAACAACAAGGATTAGTACACAAGTTAGTCGTTGAATCATCAAGGGGAATGAGACTGAAACCAATAAATTAGTCATCACAATGGATACCTAACCTTTGTAATTGGAGATCTCATGAATAAGGTTCAATAGGTAATAACAAAGTTGATGGGTGACTTGGAAGAGCACTAAAAATATTAGAGGGAAATTCCGTAGTCCTATTCCTATGGTGATAGTGTTCACTATTGTGACGGGTTTTAGGAAAAGCTTAGCTCTGAATGTATCCAAGGTAGGATTTCTGCAGGGTGTTGGTCACAAATCACCTTTGGAGGATACACCTATATAAGAGTGACAGTGGGGTCACTGTTGTGGGAAATTGGGTTGCTCCCTAAAGATATACTTGTAGAAACAATATATGTGCGCATGACCGTTTAACGCGCAAAACTGTTCCAAAACCATGATAATTGCCCATACTGTGCGTGTGGTAAGCCTATCTTTGATCACAAGGACCTAGTTCAAAACTTTTTTTACTATGGTTTCTTCAAACTGAAACTTATTAACACTAAGTGGAGGCTCAAGTCTGGAAGACACCTATACCCACTGTGCAGTAAAAACACTTTTTTCAATTTTAAATTATGTGGGGGAATTGTTATTTTATAATTTTAAAATTGTATTTAATTTATTTTATTTGATATTTGCATCTTTTTAGGAATAAATTTATAACGTTATATTAGTTTCTTAGTCTTTTGGGTTATCCTACAATATCTCCTAAATATCTAAATTATGGTTATTTAATTGTGTATATAAAAAGACTTCAACGTTGTTTTCTAAACAGACAAACGTCTTTCTTCTCCTCTTCTTCTACTCTGTTATATATTTTGTGAGTTTATTGTATTGAGTTTACAAATGAGTATTGAGTAATTTAAGGTTTGTGAATTCACTTTGTTGCACATGAGTGATTTCGAAGGTCGTTATATCTTGAGAGAAGAACACCATTCAACTCAGTGCAGAAGAGGGTGTATCGTTCCTAAAGAAAGCGTAATCTTAGTGCCTCAACCACCATTCAGGCTTCTCTAAACTTTCTCTCTAGTAATAATATTTATTTGTTATTTTTAATTTATTATTTGTTTGGTATTTTTATTCTAATAGTTAACTGTTTAATTTTTCTAACAAACTTAAAAGTAAAGCAAGAGAACCTGTTGGATAAAACTGAGTGGGGGTGGTGGTCCAGGGTGAAATGTTGGCATCAATAGTGTCGATGCCGAAGTGAGGCTGGTGTTGCAATCGCAAGTTGTTGATGTTGTTGTCATCATCCTCCATCCCACAGCTGCTTGGGCTCGTCTGATCGTCCAGCTGCATGTTTTGCCCATTCAGGAAACTTGATGGTGGTCGTAGCATGTTGTTGCCTATGCCATGACCTTGCTCTCTAGAATAAATAAATAAAAACAGAAGCAAAAATCAAAGATTCCACTAATGAAGATTCTTTCTGGTTCAATTTAGTGGATTGTACTGTCCATCTAGCCTTTAAGGTTTATCTCCTTTTGATTAGATACTCTATTCATTTTCTAAGCTCTCAATTATGTGTAGATTGTTTATGAAAAATATAGAAATTCTAGCAATATGATTTTAACATTTTTGTTTTTTCTAAAAAATAAACAATAAATGTAATTTAAAATTAGGCTGTTCATTTTTTCTAAGACTAAGAAGGTAGAATCATATGAGCAGGAGGAATATTAGATCAATTTATATTTTTATGAATAATCTATACACATGCATCTAAAACTAAGCCTTCGTTTGGAAAGAGCTAATTTAGTTTAACTAAATTAGTTGTGTTTGAGAAAAACTTGACTTTTTTTTTATTTTTTTATTTTTTTTATAGATATGATGGTTGTGAGCGAAAAAATAAAATGATTACGATTTAGATATGATATTTTGTCAAATTGACTAAATTAATCTATTTTATCTTTTTATATTTATTTTGTGATTTTAATCCTTCCTAAACAATAAGGCCTAAACTAAGCATTATTGGAATGAGGCCATGGTGATCCAATAGATTATGCTAGACTGTCTTTTTCAAAACTAGGGATAATTCTAGTCCACATAAAATATAAAAAAATAAAAATAAAATAATACCAATCATTGTATTTGGTTTTAATTTTCCTAATTTAATTTTTTAAAAATTAATTTCTTTGTTTTTCGTGTTTTTTTTTTTGTTTTTAGTAAATATTTTTAAAATTCTAAGCAATTTTTTTTTTAAATACACCTTACTTAGATGTATCTAAATAATAAAATATTTATGAAAAAATATTTTAAAAAATTAATAAATATACAAAAATATGAAAAATGTACTAACTTTTCGGGTTTTTTTTTTTGGTGGTATTTAGTGATTTTTTAAAAGATTTTTTAACAAATATTATACTTTTGAAGTATATTTTTGTTAAGTGTGTTTAAAAATTATAAAAATTCATTAAAATATCAAAAAATTCATTGAAAATAAAAAAATACAGAAAACAAAAAAATAAAATTTTTTAAAATGTAAATTTTAAAAACTGAAACTAAACAAAATAAATAGTTTAATATTTGTGGATCAGATCATCATTTTGAGTGTGACCCATCAAGGATGGATCTAGAGATACAAAAAGGAGCGACTGCACCTACGAAATTTCAAAAAATCATATATATTATACTAAAAAATTTAAAAAAATTTAAAATTATATAAATTTGGACTCCCAAACATATTTGATACCCATAGTAATAATCTTGTATTCGTAAACCCACTCAACACCCAAGTTTCAATTTGCATCATACATCTACAATTTCTTTATTTTGGTCTTTATTGAAAATTAGAACCTGAGGGGAAGAAGGCCATTTGAATCCAAGAAGTTCATGATCTGCACTTGTTGTGAGTCTCTCTGCGGCTGGGGCTGTGGCATCCAATCCAAAATAAGGTTTGGATTTGTTGTAACGAGACCATTTACATTCAAAACCGGCTCCAGAGGCAGATTCACCTACACACAACAACACAACAAACAAACTACGTTTAACTCTTTCCACTTCTTTGTAATCTTGACAAAAACCAGTTTGATCACACACACACACACATATATATAAGTTCAGAAACACGATGATTTTCAAGCAGAGACCTGTGAAGTTAGTTGGGCATTGGAATGGTCATATTTCTCCTCCAAAACTCGCTGTTGAACACTGATTTCGTCAGTTCTACTTCTCTGTAGGATAATAACAATACGTAAAATGGATCAGCTGTAAAACGATCTTACTTTGCGTATACGGACACATTTCAGAGTCTCCTCAAGGATATGCTCTCGGCGCTGGGCCTCACACACAGTCGTAATTTCAGATGGATGTCCTTCGAAAATCCTAGGGAAAAAAAAAAAAAAAAGGAATTAGATTACATATAATTCATTATTGCCAACTCAATTTGGAACTTTCAATGAGAACAGAAACAGATGGATATTATTGGGCTTTTCTGGCAGTGCAAGGTACTTTAACCGTTTCTCCATCTCCTCCAACTGAGACCTGCTTTTATGAATTTCTTGTTGAATTTCCTGTTATTCATGTGAATTGATTATTATTAGTTTTAAATAAAAAAATAAAAAAAAAAACTGATGAAATTTATGGTGGTGTTGTGCATGAGAGATGCTGAAATACCTCAAGTTGGGAGTCTGCATTCACTGGGCTGCTTCATATGACAGGAAGGAAAACAACAAAACTAGTTTAAAATATATATATATATATGGAGAAACTGTTGTATGTTATTAAAATTAGGCCTTCAATCCAAAGGCATTGATAAAGACTTATTGAAACAAATCGTGTGCAGTACATGGGTTTTCGAGAACCAAAGAATCTTTTTACCTGACTGCTCCTGCTTGATAGTTGTTGTGATCTTTCAACTTGGCTAGAGCCCTCTGCAGATACTAAAACATTTAAAAATTTCATTATTGAAACATTTAAAGTAATAGCTTGATGTTGATTGGAATCGATTCAACACTGCAATTTAGGGAAGAGAGTGTACCTCTTGGTTATGCAGCCTTATATGATTGCATTTTGAAGGATATGCAAAACACACATCCATATCATCAAAGAGACAAACACACAGAAAACCATCAATATCATCAACAAAACAAACTAAATTATATATTATATGTATATATACTATGTATTCAACTATAGCTTACCGTCCACGCTCATGTTCAGGAAGATTCACGTATCGTGCCATTATCTCTTCCATGCTTTGACATATAAAAAATGATGAGATATGATTATGATTTTAATAAAATAACCTAAATTATATATTAAAAAAAATATTAAAAGGAGAAAGAGGAAAGAAGAGAGATTTGTGAGGCTATACTAATCCTATAGAGCACCTTTTATTTCCAGAGAAGATGCTGAGTCTTCCAGAAGGGGAAAACATAATGAGGGCAACATCAACATCACATAGAACAGATAGTTCATAAGCTTTCTTGATAAGCCCATTTCTTCTTTTTGAGAAAGTGACTTGTCTGTTTGTTGTATTCTCAATTTTCTTGATCTGAAGCTTCACTCTTCCCATCACTCTTCTATGTTTCTCAATATATATATTCACTTGATTTGAAATCGCAAGTGTTTATAGGGAAATGTTATATACATGATGAAACATGTGATGTGAATAAAGTGTATGTATAAATATAGAGGGAGAATTTATCATGTCTCTGTCAGATAAACCTAAAGATATTTTTTTAGATCCATATATAAAAATAAAACAAATAAAAATAGTCAATATCTTAGAACAGAAGTACTTAATAGTGAAGATGAGGAGTGAGGAAAAAAAGATAGGAAGGAAATAGATTACATTATGAGTTTTTGTCACTATCAGGCAATTCACAGAAGATGATGTGAGAGAGAGAGAGAGGCGGTGTGCTGGCTGGCTGGCTAGCTAGCTGGCTAAGTGAGTGACTAAGTGAATCATATTTGAAGATATAGACAAAAACAAACTCTTCTCATTGAAGCATCTTTAAACACAATTACTAGAGTTTGTTTTGTGATTTTGTCCTTCTTCATAGCATTTTGACATGAAAGCGTCGGGTGTGCTTGCTTACATGAACATCAATGCATGTGAGCCAATTGTTAACTCAACTAAATAGTGAGAGGATGTTTGGAAATTGGCTAAAATTGTCATGACCCAAACCCAATCTTAGAGGTTCGGATTATAACTGACTAGTAATCATGAGATTACATGTGATGTCAGACAGAAATCAAATCATATTTAATTATATGGGGTCAAAAGCGAAAGCAGAATTATAAAATTTATCCAATGACCTTGTACATAAATGGAATGCACAAAAGCACTCTAAATGTTAATAACTCACATCCTTACATATGCAAAAAAAATCTCACATGCCCAAGATCATTCACAAGTTATTATCACACACACAATAGCCCTGTTTGGTAGAGCTGTGGGAAAATGCTTATAGCTTATGCCTAAACAGCTTATAACTTATAACTATGAACATAAGCTGATTTCTGACTTATTCTTAAAGCATCTCCTGCCCTACTCAAAGAATAAGCTGATTTCTGACTTCCAAAAAGCTATAAGCTATAAGTTATAAGCTAAACCAAACACATCAAAATAAAAGATCAAAAGACAAAAGTCTCATTCGTAAGGCGTTCATTGGCTGACTCTACAAAACTCAGGTAAACTTCACAGTTTCACTAAGGTTGGACATTCCGTTGCTCACCTACATACACATATAATGTAGTAAGCTAAAACCTAGTGAATAATATTAAAGTAAAGATGTTATATGAATGAGTTCTAATAAGACTTAACAAAATCGTTCTTATATTATATAGTGGAACGACCTCAGGTCCAATACATGATAGAACAATCTCTACTCCAACATAGACAGAATTACGGAACAAAGCAGATCAATTATAGCTGTATAATGACTATTTGGTCAACACATAACAGATATTCAGACTTATTAGATAATCGAATAATCAGATAATTGAAATAACCTTGGGTCCATCTTATCAAATACACGGAACGATCTCAGGTCTATCTCATACATTCGTACTTAATCAATTTCATTAATAGGTATCAATTGATCAGACAGATAGAAGCTCATTCACACTTGCAAAAATCATAGGTGCAGAAAAACTTACCATATTGACGCATTCAAAAAATAGAGTATAAAAGAAAATATCTTTACTAAGATATTACTCATTCAAAATATGCTGAAACAAGACACTTCACTCGAGCGCAACATTGGTCGCTCGAGCAGACCACATAGTCTGCAAATGAATAAGATGGTTCAAATCTAGGCTTGATGGTCACTCGAGCCAAGGTCCCAAAATAAACTGAGGCCACTAAAGCGGTCACTTGGTCGCTCGAGCCGACTGCAAAATTCTGCAAAAATGCTGGATACATGAGATGTGTGCTTGAGCGACTACTTGTTTGCTCGAGTGGTTTAGCTAAATTCTAGGTCTTTCAGAACTGAATTTAAACTTCAAAACTCATGTTCAAAGCGTAAAAACTTGCATGATTAAACCAAACCCTTAAAAATACATGGAAATTATGAACTCAACTTGAAACCATGAGCTCAAAAGTATCATGAATTGCTAAATTTGAAATCAAAACCTCCATGCATGTATAAAATTGTTTCCAAACTCTTTTAAAACTCGAAATTGAACTTCAACTCAACATAATTCATTACAACTTCTAAACCTAACATAGGTAATAAAACTCATGATGAAAATTATGATTCTACACTCTTATATGCATGCATGTATGAATTGACTTCAAATTCTATATTATCAACTCAATTTTCTCATCTAATTACATAATCTCTTGAATTTACATATTTGTTGGCTTAAACTCATGGATTAAGATTCAAACACTTACCTAAGGTCTTCAATTACACTTGTACTAGCCTATTCTTAAGTTCTTCTTCTCAAATCTTCAACCTTCAAGCAAAATCTCCAAGTTTTCTTTTCTCTCTCTCTCTCTCTCTCTAGAGCTCTCTTTAGAATTTTTGAGTTCCTTCCTCTAATTCTCTCATCTCTTATATACTAAATTAGCCTAAGGGGCTAATCATGGATTAACTCACTACTCACTAATTACACTTACGTTAATTTAGTCAAAACTTAATTTTTTTGAACTGAATCAAATTTTAATCAAACTTCTCAATATGTCCTAAAAATTATGTCATTCCAATTTAACTTATCAATTTTGCTTTCTAAAGTCATTACAGCATTGAATTTCAGATTTTGAACAGAAATCACAACAGATATTTCAACAATGAACAGACATGCATACAAAATCACATTAAACACATAATTGACATTTATAATTAAATAAATAAAAGCATATTACGTGACGAGGTTGTCACAAAAATTGTTACAAAATTCAATACAAAAAGTAAATCAACTTAATTATCTCTACTTTGATGCATATCTTTAAATAAAAAGCTAAAAAATTATTTAAAAAAAATCAATTCTCAAACAAACCCTAAACAGTAAGTAATCTTTATTTTGCTACACTTATAAAATGATGAGGGTTGTTTATCCATCGATTTCCATGCTATCTCATAGCAATACATCCCAAAAGAATCTCTTGATAGATATCTTGGATTGTATATTTTCTTAGAAACTCTTTAATGTGGCACAAATTGTAATATTTATAAATTTATGAAGAATCTTGGGATCCATCCTTCACTGCTAATTAATTCCATTAGTTAGCTCTAGAGCATGTACATATATCTCTCAAAGATCAAATAATTGTCACAAAAAAAAAGCATTCATAGATATGATGTATTCATTAATTAATTAATTAATTAATATTATCTTACTAATACATCTATGTTTGGACAAAAATAGTGTAATAAATAATCTATATAAGTTTTATTTTTGTTGGAAATTTGGTTGGGTTTAGAACCCATTGGGTTGTCTATGGTGGCATGACCCAAAACCCACAAGGAGAGACCCAAGTGGACTTGGATTAACTTATCATGGAGATAAGTGTGATTCACCCACTATCTCATCTGTTGAAAAGATAGAGTTGTGGGTGGTTATAACTTTCCTACATAATATATGTATTATATTTGGGAGAGTAAGAATTTAATCAGATGAGTAATCTACTAGTCTTTTTCTCCTTATCTCTCACTTCCTTTTCTCTCTCCTTGGAAGCACAAAACTGCGCCTTTGTACTGTGAATAATGTGAGTAGTTCTCTAGTAGTTCTACTCCACTTCTGGAAATTTTTCGAAGACATCAATGGAGGCACGCAATTCACCCACATTATCCATGGATTCACTTTGAGCGTAAAAGGTATGCTCAAATTCATTTATTTTCGCTATGTATTATTTCTCTTATTTTCCCTATATTGGTATCAGAACCATTGTTGGGCGTTTTCGTGTTATTTGTGCATGAATATATGTATATTTATGATTTGTGCATAAAATTGATATTTTTCGTAACATCTCTGATCATCTTGAATTTCATATATGTTGTAGTCCATATAATAGTGTATCTGCAAAGCTTTGCAAAAGTCGGACTATCAGATTTTAAGAAAAATGGAGTTTTATATTTGATTTTCGTAACTTTAACTGCATGCTATTTTTTCATGTTTCGTTTTCATGTTATGAAAATTATATATTTGGAATTTTTGTTTTGAGACCTTCGAAACGATATATTATGAGTCTGATTCCGACTTATGATTGAGGAGAAAACTCAAACTTAATTTTGGATGGGAGTTGAAACAATTGGAAGCTTGAAGAAGATGAAATTGATGCAGACATGTGCTGATGTCAATAACTCGCGATGACATCATCATTACATATGAGAGCGTTGGTAGTGGCTGCTCATCGGCAAGGGCACTGTTTGGATTTCTTGAAATTCAAAACTACGTTAATTGGTTGTAGAATATTCATTATAATTCCATTTTGAGCATGGCTTATACTATTGGACTCATAATTCATTTTTTTACAATATGTTAAAGTTTCATAATTTTTTGAGAAATAATTTTTTTTCATCAATAAATAATTCGATATTTTTACGTTAAATTGCTCTTGGGGGAGCATGACTTGGATTTTGAAATTGAAATTTTTACAGTGGACTATTGTTATGTAATCTTATTTACTGGTATGATTTTTTTATTTTTTCAGATTCTGTAATATTTATCTCTGATTTTCTGTGTAATTATTAATTACTTATAATTGTAGAAAATTGCAGAAATTATAGAAATCTATTATGGCATTATTTAAATACTTTATACAACATGTTAAGTTCGTTTAAATGTTTAGAATTTGTAGTATGATGTTATTTTAAATAGCATGATTTATTTATATTGTGAATTTTAATTTCATGATTAAATTAATCTAGCATGTTTTCTTTTATGAATTATATTGAGATGTTATCATGTGGAGTTAAATATTTTATCATGCTTTAGACATGCCATAGTTAGTGGGGGGTTGTTCGGTTGAGATAAATCTTTGTAGATTTACTCTCAAAAACTAATATTTTGTGCATAATTAAATTAAATTTTAGATAATTGTCACTTGTAACGTAAGAAATGATGACGAGCATAGCAGATTTTCGATCTTGCGACTTGTGTAATA